CGACCGACCAATCAAAAGACGAAATCAGGAAGCACTGATATCCGGAAGAATATACAGACTCTCGCCAACAATGCGACTGTTTCTTCTAAGGCATCTACTTCAAGCTCTGAGTCTGGGAAAAGTCGAAAAGGTCTCGCCATGGATCCTTCCATCAAGTCTTCTACCAGGCGACACGGCCGCAAGTCTCGCCAGAAGCTTGGGTTACCTAAAAGTGTTCCGATGTCGGGGACACAAGCAGTCGCGGATATTGGCTAGTTCTTGGGGCTCGATTGGTCCGCATATCGCCCCTTCGAAGTGAACATTACATAATGATCTCAGAAATTCGGTTATATGTTTTCGTGGGACCGAATATTTATTTTCGTTGTCGCAATAATTTCATTTGTTTTAAACACGTATCAAACACGTCGTATGCTTATTTTACACAGTCGTCTCCTACTTGTGCGTTTCTTATACCGAACAAAACGCTTACAGCCAGTTACAGCCGAAAAATAACTGAGCTCCACCGACAACACTGAATGTTCCAGCCAGAAAAGGCAGTTTCGCCGCAAAGGTGGGGCAATGAATGCGTTAGCGAAAAGTTGGAACGTCACACGTATAGAACGACGTTCAACTCGATAGTTGGAGTGTGCCGCTCAAAACACGCAAAAATGGATGCTGGAAAAGAACACACAGGTATACACAGCACAAGTGTGAACTAAGAAAGCTCGAAGTTGTTACGCCTTTGTGTTTGATCAATGCTCCGCAACTGTCGAGGTTGAGGAACCCGACGCTCTTAGATGTTGGTGCGGGGACCAAGCCCTCTGCGTCTTCTGCCTCGTGTAGGCGTCTTACGCAGACTGCAGCAGGAGCACGTACTGCTACCCAAAAACTTACGACCACTCCAATGATCACTCCCTAACCCGAAGCAGAAAACTTTTAACTTCTGCTAAAGTAACGAAAAACTTCGTTACCACTTTTCAATAAAAGGAAGGCGCTTAGAGTTAAGGACTAACTTTTGTAATGTAGGGTGTAGCTTAAATAAAGTGTATTTGAAATATTTTGCCAGACACGGGAGTTGGCCCACTCCAGGGCACGATGGTTAGGTGTCCGCGGCCAGGGAGGACTTTTGGGTTGTACTGGAGATTTGGTAAACAGGGGTCCGCCAACCGCATACATTGAAATTATCCAGCATTTAGCTATAAATATATAAAGGAGAAGCTTTCCACCTGCACATAGGAAGCTAAACAGAGCGAAGGTGCTGACATTGCGGTTACTTCAAGCGGAAACGTACCCTAACCCTGCATTTCTCCACAAGCTTTATCCTGAGGTTTATTACTAACTCTTGTACGAAATGTGAGTGGTTTAGCCACCTTACACCACATGCTCTGAGAGTGCTTTTCGTTACGCGTCACTGATACAGCAACGTCCAGCAATTGGGAATCCGCTCTGAGGAGTCCGGTCATTGCATCGCAACTTTGGGATGTCTTAGAGGGCCCAGGATGCGGCGGTAAATCTCGGCCTTACTGTCCCGTCGTGGGAGCGGCCCGCCACGTGCTAGGGACACACCTTCTGACTTTCGGAATAAAATTCTCCCAAATGAAACCAAGCCCCACACCGGAAGAGGCTGTTGAATTTGAACGGGCTACTCGATAAGGCTTCCGTTCCCCGCCAACGCTAATAGCTGCGCTGGCGCACAAAACAGGAAGCCATTGAGAATCTTTGTTTGTGCTACGAAAATCTATCATGCTCGGGACAGCTTTATGTAGCAGCTCAGCCAAATCTATACGTGGGCGAAGCTTCTGTGCATGTGTTGCTACGCCAAATAATCCGCTTGCGGGCTATTTCAGTTTCGGTTTCGCAGACGCTTCCAGCCTGTACCTTTTAGCACGAACATCGAAGTATGATGTTTTCGTTTGTCAGAACAGTGTTGCAAAAAAGAGGTTATATATAGTTTTAATCACAAGCTATGACAAGCATTGTTATTCTAGCGGGTGCAGTGGAAAATAAGTACGTGTAAGTGGGTATGAGCCATAGTTAAGGCATCATCATAATCATTATTGCTGTGCTTCTTCTGAAAATCTATTATGACGCTAATCTGATAGTGGTTCAGGCCCACGTGCAAAGCGAGTACCATACAAATTTTTAAATATTTTTTGAAATGAATAAAACATTCTTGATTGCGAATGAACACAATTTAGAAACTTCTTTATTGAAGCGGTGATATTAATGAAAAATTGTATTGGTTTAGAGCAGCTCAGTTGGAGCACGAAGAAAAGGTGCTATATGGTCAAGAAGGGAAAATAACAGACGACAGTATGAGCGCTAACTACTGCCAACTTTGTTCATTGCGTGACGCTACAGCACACTATATAGCTCACCTTGCTGCCTACCTGACGCCGCACACATGAAAAAAGCCATAAACGTGTGGCGCAGCACACGTTACCGAAAATTCTAGATTTAAACTGATATAAAATTAACAATCTTATATCAATACTTCGCAGCGCACGGCCCAGAAAATTGAGCTCTTTCTCAGAGAAGGCTACGGATAACGTACTCACACACAGCTTCGCAATTTTTGCGATAACCTTCGCTTCACTAATTTCTCGTGTCAATTGGTTACGACTGCGGCCCAAGATGACACTCAGATAAAAAACAAATTAAGTGAATGCACACGTCTTACAATGCATAGCCAGGAAATTACTAGAAGAAATCTTGTTTTTTACATTTTAACAGTGCTCGCGCAAGCGGTCATTAACAAACCTACCAGTGTTCATATGTAAACTGCGTCACACGACAGAGGGAACATGTAGACGACAGCTAGGCAACATTGAACAAACTTAGCCTCATGCTTTTTTCCACATGTGGATTGCACCTCGTTCTTAGGGTTCGTAAGCTTACATAATAGACTAAATAATAGACATAATAGACTAAGTTTTTTTTTCTGGAGCAGACAACACAACACAAACATTTCCTCTCAGGGCCATGTTTTCCAAATGGTGTGAAATTCGATGGACATACGCTATCACAGTGGTTTTCCCAGCATCAGGCTCACTGTTCTGCGGCCGTCCCGCATACATGAACTATAGGCAAGAGACACTCAGCTATACTGACACCTGCACTAACACTGAATAGCCTGCCAAAGATAATCGCTTGCTTTGTCCTGTAAAACTATAGCGGTCATAGTGCGATGGCATGACTTCATCGCGGCATTTCTAAAAAAAAACAGCCTTGCATTCTCTCGCTTTATCAGCTTTGAATGTACTGCTGCAAGAAAGGCTTTCGCGACCGCGTTTCATAACACGAGCAAGTATGTTCAAACGAACAAGACAGACAAAGGTCAAGAAAGCGGATTGTGCCTCCTCGCGGTACTTGATACGTAGGACTTTACTCTACGCTGGGTAAATTCTAATGAATGCTATGAGCCACGCTGACTCTTTGGGTAAGGTTGCCAGTTGGCAGTGTTTCAAGGCGTTGACAAAATTTCACTTCTCCTATATTGGAAACCATACGCATAGAATGGGACGGACGCGTAGAAACGACGTGTTGAAGGTAGTAATCGTGGATTCCACCGTCTTAACTTATTATTACACTTGAAGTGTACTGTGAGAGGGCAGTGGTAGGCGAGTTTTCAAGTCTTACAAAATAGGTAATCGTGGCGCAGTGGATAGCGTGCCCGGCAGCTGTTGTCGCCGACCGAGAAGTCGTGGGTTCGACTCCCATTGATCGAACTTTGCCTTGCTGAAAGTTATTTTGGACGTCATTTTTGTGACGGAAGTAGGTCACTGAAATGTCGGAGGACCTCGGTATAAAATACTTTCGTGTTGATGTTAGGTAATATATAAAAGACACACTAAAATTACTGAGATGATGAGAGCAAACAAGACAGCTATACGTGTTAGTATAACCAAGGTATAATGCAAAAAAAAGATATGTCAAACATCAACGCTTTTTTTTATTTCCTCACGAATATTTGCCAATTTAGAGACTAAATAGAATGTGTATAGTAACTCGAATAAAATTACGAACCTTACAACCGGCATCTCAGTGTGTTGAACCACACCCATATTCCCGGCTTATGAAACATGAAGTTTTCTAAAAGTTATATGTACATTTAGTAAACTCTATGTTATGAAATACCTTTATTCCTCTTGTTTTAGCACCTTACACCAGCGCCATTCGTGGTCCATCCACCGCAGTGGGTTCACTCACAGCACGAGAATCCAACTAAAGAAGTCGCCCACTATTGCTTCGTTAGGACTAACGTTAAGACTCACAACTTACATCACAATTGCAAGATACCCCACACTAACGATCAGAAAAAGCTTATCACACCCTGCCTTGACAGCTTCTTCAGAATATAAGCATCTTTTATTTTTCTGGCGCAGTGATCTATTGAGGTCGTGAATAACAGAAGTGGGTATACAACCAAATTTCACTGCTGCGTTAGCTTCCTCAGTTTTTACCTGCATAGAACAGGTAGAACGATTTCCCCTCAGTTTCTCTTCTGTAATGAGGACGAAACCATTAGTCATTACTTTTTATCTTGTCGCCGGTTCACGTCATTGAGGAAAAGATTAATATTGCTACCTCCTCGAAATCTGGGTCACGAAATTTCAGAATCAGGTGTTCTTTCTTTCGACGCCTCTACTCTGGGCTACAGTCACAGCAAATTTTTCTTCGCTATTGAGGAATTTATCAATATGTCTAAAACAATATCTACTTAACTTCTTATCTTTGAAATATCTCATCAATAATATTTTGTACCTAATTTCGTTATAGTACGTACTTATTATTAGCTTCTATATTAATTATATACAAAGAAAATACTGAAAACGTTCACCTATCACTCAGCCAATCTCCTGCATTGGGTATGAGTCATAAGAGAAGGAGAAGAAGAAGTCCTACTCCCTGTCTTTGCCTAACCGTTCCGGGTGGGTGTGGGCCAAGAATTGAGGATTTAAATCTACATCTACAATTGTTGCAGGCCGCGCACCCTCTGTCAACATCCCAAGGGCCAGTAGATGGACCTGTTCTTTCCGCAACGCCTCGCTCGTTATGACCTGCGGACGAGTGAGTCCTTCGACTGCCAGGAAGCCTTCGGCTACGGTGCCTTCCAGAAGCGTCTGTTCTTTCTTCTTATTCTCTCGGCTGTGTCGGTCTTATGCCAAACTTCCATCGTTACCATCGTGTTCGGTGACGTGGACCACTGGTGCAAGCGGCCCCGAGGCTTCAACATCTCTGCAACCGAATGGAAGAATATTGCCATACCACTTGAAGCCGACGGAAGGCATAGTCAATGCCGCGTCTACCAGCGCTGCATGCCACCCGTCGACTTCAGCCTTCCGAACCGGGAACGGATGGACAGCGACGTGCTAGCACAGCCGCATGCAAGTACAGGCAGTACGTACGAATACGGGTGGTACAACGAATGCCTGAACGGTGCCTCGGAAACAGCCAACGACACACAAGAGATACACTGTGATGAATGGGAGTACGATGACTCGGCGGCCAGTTTTACGGCGGTAAGCACTTGGGACATGGTGTGCCATCGACGCCCAAGAAGAATCGCGGTCGTAGCGCTGCAGTATGCTGGTGCCGTTGTATTTGTCGTCACATCTGGAATATACGCGGACTCGCTAAGTCGAAGGACTTGTCTCGTGGCATCCGCTGCAGCGCTATTGGCCATCACGATTTGCACTTTTCTGGCAAATACTTACTATGTTTACGCTATTGCGCGTTTTCTGGCCGGAGGCTTTACCGCCGTAAACGAAGTCTTCAGCGTCATTATCCCGTTCGAAGTGACGACCCACGCTCACAGACCACAGCAAGTCATCCTCTGGCACTTGGTCGGTGTCTTGCCGGCCGAAGTGTGGGAAATCCTAATCAGACGCGTGCCCATGTTCTGGTCGCTCAAACAGCTCATCTTTCTCGCGCCTACGGCCCTGCTTCTCCCCGTGTCACTCACCGCACCTGAATCACCTCGTTGGCTCGTGGCGAAAGGACGAATGCAGGAGGCCGAGACCGTGATGATGCAGGCTGCCGAGACTAACAACTTCCCCCTCCCAAACACGTCCGCTCTGATAGACAAGCTCAGAGAACAGGTCAAGGCGAGGACGTGCTGCACCGAGGCTTGCGATCAAGAGATATTGGACTCTAACTCCTTGCGTCGGCGAGCGCTTGCCATGTTTTTCACCTTTTTCTCAATGACGTTCTCGTATTACGTGGCTGTGTTCGCGACGGCGTCATCCCACGAGGCTTGGATGCCGTATGGCGTAGTCGCAGCCACGCTTTTGGCGTGTGGTGTCATGCACGTCTTAGTGACCGACATTACCCTCGGTGACGGTGATGAACACGTGCGTCGTGACGATTGCCGTCATCGATTGCTTGCTGAGTTTCGCCGTAGGTGCTGGAGTGGCAACGATCAGTAACGTTCTCAACGTGCTGTCCAAAGGCGCGTCACTGGTCATCCTCGTTCACTTCTTGGTGTTCGTCATGGAGCTCTTTCCTTCGGCCGTCAGGAGTGGTACGGTGTGTTGGATGTTCGCGAGCGGACGCCTCGGTGCCATGTTCGCGTCCCTGACCTTTGCCCTGCAGCTTCAAGGTCGTGAAGACGCGGCGTTCGCCGTTGCCGCGTTGCTTCTATTCATGTCTCTTCTGGTGATACGGGTGCTTCCACGAGCGACCATGGTGGAGCAGGCTAAGGAGGCCAATATTGGTTTAAGTTACGCAAGAAACTACATCAAACACATGAGACGTACGCTCGAGCGACCGACGGATCATATGGCCAAATCCGGAAGCACTGATGCCCTCCGAAAGAGTCGCCAGAGTGTCGCCAGCAATACGAACGTTTCTCTCAAGTCATCTACTGGAAGCAGCGACACCCGGAAGAGTCGAAAAAGTCGTTCCAGCAACTCAGATTCCTCTGCTAAGGCCAGACTACAAGGCTACAAGTTTAGCGAGAAGCCTGAATTACCTAGAGGTGGTCCCATGCCCATAACACAAGCAGCTGCGGACATTGGCTAGTTCTTTGGGGCTTGAATTTACCCATATTGCTCTTCAAAGTGAACAGTACATAGATATTGATATCGGAAAATAGGTGATATGTTGTCGTGGGGCTTGATAGTTTGTATAGTTTTTATTACAATGATTTCATTTAAAACAAAACGTAATGAAACGCGTCATTTGCTTTTTTGTTAGTTGCCTTTACAGTGTAGCCTCCATCTGCGCTGAAGTTTGAACAAAATACTTGTATGTTACAACCGAAGAATGCATAAGGTCCACACACAGCGGTCAATGTACAACCAGGTGAGAAAGAAATGGCAAAAGTGTTCCATTCGATCACACTTGCCAATTTTCTCGACACTGTCAGGTACGGCGCCTGAGCTTACGGTTGAGCGGCGTTCTTTCGGTCCTCAAACAAGTAGCCGAACGGCTGGCTGCCTATGTCCGCCATGTATTGTCCAAGCGAGGTGCCGTGCCGTCGGGCGGCGACGACGAGCGCAGCAGCTTCCTTGGAAGAGACAGCGGCGGCGGCCGCGAATCGCCCCGCTGATTGAGCTTGCAGTTATGACCTCTTTTGAGCTTTTTTGCGGTGGCCTTTTTGATGTATGCTGTCGTAAGCGTTGGACCTATCACCACGGCGACAGTGTACGCTCAAGGGGAACCCGTGGTGGACCCGTGGGGGACCCCGTGGCGAAAGTGTGGTGACTCCGCCCCCAGTCAAGGACACTGACGTGGGCAGGTGCGGGGGGACCCGGCCGTCAAAAAGTGTTATACGTCTTGGGATTGGACAGTATAATTTGGTGCCCTTTCCCCACTTCCGAGGATCTGGGGAAACGGGACTGTTTAAAATCAACCCTCGCGGGCTGCTTCGGTGCCTATGCGATGCAGTGCTGTTCGAGAGAGTGCTTTTGATGCGGATGCCTTCTCGATGTAGAGCTTTCGACGAGATCGTCACGATGTAAGACGACATCTTCGTCTAGATGTCCGCCATGTGGCGAGAAACGCTCGCTTGTAAATAAGGTAAAATAAACCTATGTAAGTATATCCCGAACAATGCACCTTGCTTCCTGCAAGTTGGGCCATACGGGTCCAGTGGCGGCGCCCAGCTATCTACGACGAGACCCACCGAACCCGAGCCGCAACGACCTGCAGCACAGGTGGTATGCCGTCAGACCCCAGTTCTAACAAACTGGTGGCAGTGGTGGGATGCCCTCGAGCCTTGCTCCTAACAACACCAAGCGCCTTTCGCATATTTGATATAGCTGGTGTCCTCATGCAGACAAACGTTCGTGTTGGTGGTTTCAAGTCGAGAACTTGAACGTCCATGAAATTTGAGCAAATATTCCGACAGCACTGCATAGTCAAAGCTTATAGACTATGCGCGAACGCAACATTTGTCGTATTTAATGTACGTGGTATTTATGTTAGTACGGAAGAAGTAGTTGTGGTTTGGATGGACACCAGTTGGCACGACTCTCTTATATAGCTTTTTGTTTGCACAGCTTGTACTTACTCTTAGGTTGTAAATGACTATACGAATGTATTTTGCTTTTCCTTCAGTAACTTATTATCATATAGGTTTGTACTATGATACATAGAAGTGAATTTGGCGCTATAGTGTCCGTGAGGAGTTTCATTGTCGGCGCTTCAACCACCATGTGCATGAACCAACATGAGAATGATGAGAAGTGCAGGCTTCGGATTTGCTTTGGAGGGATTTCGTTTTTTTGAAAACGGCGACTCCTGTTTGCTCAGCTTTGGACAAAGGTTACGGAGGTATTTTCAATAGAAATTTGCTTGAATATTGCCCGTATAAAACTGATTGCAGAAAGTTCATGTGCCCGTGTGATTGAAGTGAAGCCTGGACGATTTCAACCATGAGGGTACGGAGCACCCTGGAATGGCGTGTCAGATTTGGCAGCACCAAATAATCTGTCATTTTTTTTAACATTTCAAACAAACGCTCTTACGAATCGTCCATTTTTGCAAATTAAACTTGGTGGGAACCATAAGCTTCGCCTTTAAGAGTTGAATGCGATAGCGATGTCCTGTCCATAGTGTGTAATTCAACCACTATAGAGTATAATGTTTATTGTGTGGTGTTACTCGAGAAGTTTAAATGGTAAAATACTATACAATGTAATTGATAAACTTGGAAATGGCTTGTGTCAGTGAAGCTTTTGCGTACGGCTGCATTCTTTGTAATGTGTAGCCTGCTTTAAACCACGAGCAAGCATGCGCGCGTGAAGCGTTTTCGAACTTGCTATGCATCTGCGCAGTAACTTTTGTGCCTTTTGTAATGAGTGACCGTCTTTAAACGACGTGGTAGTTAGAATAATCACAAGTTCTGACGCCCGATAACAATGTACGCTTGTAGCGGGCAATATTACTGTGATATTACATGTTGTACTGGGAAGCCTGTATACATTGCGCGTGTGTTTGTAGAGCATGAACTTTTTTTTTTCATTGGCGCGTGGCGGTTTAGCAGAACACCTGCTTTGCATGCAAATGGGCTCGGTTGAATCCTCACTCACACCTAGTAATTTCTATTTGTTATTTTATCTGCATCTTTCAGTCACGGACAAGATGATTTTTCGCTCACAACCAACAACACCCACGCCAACGCTGACATTAACACCGACGCCGATGCCGGAATTTCTGCGAAAGGATCACTTTATGGCTGTCGCGTTAAATATCTTAACTGCAACGTTTGGTATTCATAATCGGCCATAATTGCTGCGTTTGAAGTATAAGGTTCAAGAAAGAACAGCATTCTTTGATTAGCGTCACGCATATTGTATAAGTAGCATCAACGAAACGGTATGCAATGGACTTGACAGTTGCTTTCGTTTATAGAATTCCTGATTTGAGTATACCTTAATCGGCTATCGAACGTGAATACTTCTATTTCTCAACGTTACAGTCACTAAACCTGCCGATCCGTATTAAATTTTTAACACTGTATCTTCCTTGTGTTTCTCTACAATGACTGACACTTGTCACTTCAGGCAATTGCACACCAAAAAAGACAAGGACAACACAGAATACACACCGAAGCTCTGTGTGTCTTCTCTATCTCCGTGTCTATTTTGTAGCGCAATCATCGAGGTAGTGCATTACCAAGTTACCAACTAATCCAGCATGCTGCTTCGATTGCATCGTCCTCTTTCTGTATAGCTTCGTGAAATCCAGTGTGATTAATTCGCTCCGCCTATATTATCACACATGTTTTTTTCGGCGGTATCGCACATACTCAATATAGAGGACTGACCAAAACTCCGAATCTTAACATTTATAGCAACCAGTAGAAGGCCTATTGAAAAAGAAAACGAAAACCCAAAAAAATTATTAGGTAACATAGCAAACAAATACAACAGCTATTGTGTCGGAGCACAAGCAGTCTGACACCAACAATTTCGAATAGATGAGTAAGATTTAACACATCTAGCTCTTAAGTTCTTTTACGAATATTTCTTTGAACACAGCATCAACTGACATGCGCTTAATAGGTTGCATAAACTTGCAATACCTGCAAATGGCATCACGTGTTGGACCAACATCATATTCTTTCCTCGTTTATACTGATTTTCTTTTTTGTTTTTTGCACCTTACTACTGCGTGGTTCATCCCGCCGCCCGGTTCCCGGCCCATCCCCATTGGTGAGCGCTATCAATACAAAGTCATCACCACCACCACAACCACCACCACCACCACCACCACCACCACCACCTTCATCATCATCATCATCATCATCACCATCATCATCATCATCATTATTATCATGGTCGATTCACTGTAGTGGGTTCAGCCACAGCACGATAATCCAAGCAACCAAAGAGTTTCCTAAAATCAACTATGCAGCCAGCCAAGTAGCTCCGCAGTGGGTATGACTCACAAGAGAAGGTGAACAAGAACAAGCCTTAGCTGCTTCGACCAGTGAATAAATTCGTTTATGTAAATATTTGTATGCATTACATTAAGCACCACACTTTCCTATAGGCTATCGGTAATCTTTCTGTTGTACCTCCATTATTTCAAATCTGAACAGTAATTTTTAAAACCACTTGATTCTTGGCCAATCCTCCATAGTGGGTATGCGCCACTAACAATAGGTGAACAACAACAACAACGACCAGTGGGGATGTGCACCGCATATTCGACTTGACGAAACTGCTTCGCTAAGGCTAAGTCCTACTCGGTGTCTTCTCGAACGATCGTTCCAGGCCACGCACTCTTCGGTCAACGACCCTGGAGCTAGAAGATGGACCTGTTCTTTCCGAAGCTCCTGGCTCGCTATGATCTGCGTACGAGTGAGTCCTTCGACTGCCAGGATGGCTTCGGTTACGGTGCCTTCCAGAAGCGCCTGTTCATTCTTCTTATTCTCGCGTCTTTTTCGGTCATCTGCCAAACTTCTATTGCAACTCACGTCTTCGGTGACGTGGACCATTGGTGCAAGCGGCCCAGGGGCCTAAACATTTCTCTAGGCGAATGGAAGAACATAGCCATACCGCTAGAAGCCGACGGAAGGCTTAGCCAATGCCGTGTCTACGAGCGCTGCATGCCTCCGGTTGACCTCAACCTTCCAAACAGGCAACGGGTGGACAGCGGCATGCGAGAACAGCCGGACATGTGGTATAATGACTGCCTGAACACTGGCCCAGAAGCTGCCAACGACACGCGAGAGAAGTTCTGCCAAGAATGGGAGTACGATGACTCAGTGGCCGATTCTACAGCGGTGACCCCTTGGAACTTGGTCTGTCATCGACGCCTATTAAGGATCGCTGTCGTAGCCCTGCAATATGCGGGCGCCGTCCTGATTCTCGTTATATCTGGAATATACGCGGACTCGCTAAGTCGAAGGAGGTGTCTCTTGGCGTCCGCTGCAGCGTTGTCGACCACCACGGTCTGCAATTTTCTGGCGAACACCTATTACCTTTACGCCGCGGCACGCTTCCTTGCCGGAGGCTTCGTGGCCGTGAACGAAGTCTTCAGCACCGTGATCCCGTTCGAAGTAACGGCGCACGCTCACAGACCACAGCAAGTCATCCTGTGGCAAATGGTGGGCATCTTGCTGGCCGAACTGTGGGAAATCCTAATGAGGCGCTTGACCATGTCCTGGTCACTCAAGCAGCTCGTCTTTCTCGCGCCTACGCTCCTACTCCTCCCCGTGTCTCTCATGGCACCCGAATCACCTCGTTGGCTCGTTGCGAAAGGACGATTACACGAGGCCGAGGCTGTGATGATCCAGGCTGCTAATATTAACGACTTCCCCCTTCCAGACACGGCTGCTCTGATGCACAGGCTCCGAGAACAGGCCGAGGCGAGGACAAGTTCCCCGATAGCCATCGAGGGAGATATGCTGGACTCTCACTCCCTGCGACGGCGGGTGCTCGCCATGTTTGTCGCCTATTTCTCGATAACGTTCTCGTACTATGTGGCCGTGTTCGCGACGGCGCCGATCCACGAGGTTTGGATGCCTTACGGCGTTGTCGTAGCCACGCTCTTCTCTTGCGGGGTGATGCAGGCCCTGGTTTCCGGTATCGCCCTAGTGACGATGATGAACACGTTTCTGGTGATGACAGCCGTAATCGATTGCTTGCTGAGTGTCGCCGCCGGCACTGGGGTCACCACGATCACGAACGTTCTCATCGTGCTCTCTAGGGGCGTGTCTCTGGCCGTGATCGTTCACGTTTTCGTGTTCGTCATGGAGCTCTTCCCATCGGCCGTCAGGAGCGGCGCGGTGTGCTGGGTATTCGCTAGCGGACGCGTTGGAGCCCTGTTTTCGTCCGTGACGTTTGAACTGCACCTTCATGGTCGAGAGTACATGGTATTCGCCATCGCCTCTTTTCTCCTGTTCCTGTCGCTGCTGGTGATACGGGTCCTTCCCCGAACTACCATGGTCGAACAGGCCAAAGAGGCCAATCTCGGTTCATCTTCCACCAGGAACACCATGGAACACATGAGACGTACTCTTGAGCGGCCGACAGATCGTAAGACCAAATATGGAAGCGCCGAGCGCCCGAAAGGTCGAAGGAGTCTCACTAGTGATCCGGAATTTTCTCCCAAGGCGTCAACTGGGCGACACGGCCACAAATCTAACTAGAAGCTTATATTACTGAAATGCGTTCCGTTGTCGATGGTTCATACTGACACCGACATTCGCTGGTTGTTGATGGATGCATTTGCTAGCATCGGCTTTGTATGTGAACATTAAATTTAGCTACCATCAACTCTGTGATAAGGTTCGGTGGGGCTGGACATTGCTTTACATTTCTAACGCAATTTCGTACTCTTTATCACAATGATTTTTTTTATTTTGAAAACACATTAAGACACACGTCGTATGCTTCTTTGTTAGCAGCTATACAGCGTAACATCCTCCTCTTGCACGTACCTGAACAACACTCATAGTATGCATGGATTTGGTCTGGTGTTCCCAACTCATACCTGTTCTTCACATTCTCTGGACGTCGTGTTAATCCACCTTGTGACTCAACCTATGTATTCATTTCTTACAGCGAAAACTGTTATGAGATCACAACTCGGGTCACGCGCAGTTGTCCGCCGCCGCCGGTGTCCGTAACCACATCTCGCGAAATTAGAAAAAAAAAACCTAGCTCCATGCAATGAAACAGTGGTGCTAGAGCCCGGGTCCACTGAGTACCAGCCAAGTATTCTACCGCTGAGTTACGCTGGTGCTTGTAACTTGTGCTTGTGCTTTATGCAGGCTTGATGTCGGGAAAGCAATCGCGTTAATACGACGTATAAAGCGTTTTAAAACAAGGAAAGAACAACCAGTCTTCGCACAAGGTGAATAGCGTAACGAGTGGGCGGCCCAATGCTCCTACTCATCACAAAAACTTGTTCTTGTTTACCTATTAACTCTGGCGCTTACCCACTTCAGCCATAATTCTTTATCGTCTTCAGCCACTGCATGAACAATCGGCACGAAATTTGTTGCAAGTGTTGAACGGATACCACGCTTATCAGAAGAATGACGAAAAATAGCATAGCGAATGCCTGCCTACTGCCCAAATAAATTTATTAATTATTACCAAGTGGGTATCAAGCAAGTGTGCTTGCTGTAGATTACCCAATGAGTGTTTAGAAAAGGCTCTGAAAGGCCGCTCTTTAGCTTTCGCTGTGACTGTGCTGCGCCTTCTGCGCAGGCCTGGCGTTTTTTATCCCGTTTTTTTATTTGAGTATACTGAAAACTAACTTGGCCCAAGAAGGAGGAACAGTACGCATAAATATAATTTAGACATTACAAGGATAGCCGGAAGAGATGATCAGCAGGCCGCGTACAAAATTTAATTTAGAAGATGGAAATCAATGCAGCCCAACACAGACCATTATGCCACAAGAACTTTTTAATATGCTTCATTATGAGCTGTTATATACAATATTTCGAAGCAGCGCTATGCCTTGATTGGGAGATGCGAGCATAAAGCCCTTTCTATTCGCACCGTGTAGCCTTCGCGAGCAAAATACTTACCCTGCCTTCAGCGTCGAAGTCGTGGATCAGACGACGCATACGCATATCACGTCATGCGTCCTCAAGGTCACGTGCGCGTCACGTGATATGTCGAAAAAAGTACGTGCCGAAAAAAACGGACAGCGAATTGTACAGCAGCCGTACGAGGTGCAAGTGAAAATTGCAAGAGCAATATTATATCCACCAATATATGAATATTTCATCAAGTATTTTTCTGCAGACTGCAATGACACTAGCGGAAGGTAGAATCCAACCATGCTGTTGCCGGATTATGTTAGACACCGGCAGCTAAAGAACATTCATTCTTAGGAGCTTGTCGGAGAAACTCTGTTCTCTGGTCAAAGCAAAAGAGAGACTGATGATAGGCTTTTTTGGAGGAGGATAATGCGAAGTGTATGAGTTCGGTTGAAGTTTAACAAAGAAGTGCCTACTGTAACGAAGAAGTTTTACTGGGAGCTCTAAAGGCTGACCTAATATGCAAATTGCTGACGGCTTGGCACAGACTGCAGAGAAATTGGAATTCGGAAGCGTCCGGAAAACTAGTAAAAAAAAATTCTGACCGCAGCAAAGATCATGCTGCGGAAGCTGAGATGCGCTCATTTTCCCGCTTTGAAAGGCCCCGCTCAATTACTTTGATTTTAAAGACGGAATAGATGTTTCTGTCAAGCATTCATTACCTTTCCTACAAGTTTGACCCCACCTCGCCACTTATCTCTTCATTAAAGAGGGGCGCAACATTAGCGCTCCGCGTTGAGTCTGTCAAGATATCGCGCTTTTCGCCTACACGCTGTCATCTCCACTTGCATGGTAGAATATGTACGAAAACATAATTGACGACAACCTAGGAATAAAAAAATTCGGCAGATCCCACAATACAGTGGGAATCGATTATATGCGAAGCACGAATGGGGAAGGTTGATATGTCACTTTAAAATCAGCACAACGTTACGAGGCACATAGATGCAGTACATAGTAAATACAAGTGGAATTATTATGCGCACTCACGTTTATGAATAAGATGCAAGTATGTTGTTCATAGTCACGTAAAGACGGCACCACTAACGTTCGCAGTACTAGCCCCAGCAACGGTAGGCATGTAAATTATACCGTATACGACTTCCATGCCGTGATTATCATGTTTGCGCCTGGCGCTTGTGTTCGTCGTCCATTCACGTCACGTAACACCAAATTTGTAATATGTGAAGCTAGCGAAACGGCGAACTTGGACTACGGCTTCCGTATACTCGCGGCAAGCCATTGAACGCCACTACCCGACCAGGGTGAAACGCACCGCGCGTCGTGCCTTCCCTTTGCCGGCCGTGATTATTCGCAGAAGCAGCGAACTTTTATCCCTATCTATTCTTTGATCAAATATCACCAAGTGCTATCACGCATAGGGGCTGAATACTCATAAGGAAAACCTGCCAAGTTCGAGCTTCAAAACTCTCCTCAGAAGTCTGGCAAATCTCAAAAGGGAAACGTCCAACACTCACGTATTATTTGTTATGGCTCCGTTGCAAGGTCTTATGAATATCCATACGGATGTCATATGGTTATTCATGTAGATATGCATATTCATATGAATATGGATATCCATATGAATATACATATGGACATCTCAACACCATATGCGCATTGTGCATAATAAACTTTGTATAGACTGTACGCACGTGTTGTCACATCTTTTCATGATCGAGTGGGCAATGTACCGGGGTGCTAATGATCCCCCGGAGCTTGGCCCACTCGTCATCGTTCACTTCGTGGATATGCTGTAATTTTTTTTCTCTCAGTACGGGGATCAAGGCATCGACTTCCCTTCTTCACTCTTCTTCTTCGTGGTCTGTTTTAGCCTACAGTACGCGTTAAGGCTCAAAATGCCTTAACTGCCTCGTAAAACTTGAGATTGACCGTTGGCGTCAGCGTTAGCTCGAAAAATCATCACGTGACGACACGTGACGCCTTCGCCACGTCGCTCATTGGTGAAATCTGCCGATCACAAAGAGCATATGCTCGTGCTCTTGGATTGAAGCACTGGCAACTTGGCGACGCCAGAGCACGCTTGTACCTCACACTGACGGCGGGACACATTTGTCATCTTATTGCAGCTCATTATAAATGTCATCTATGAAAGCTGACTAAGGTTGCATATGTTGTTTGCAATAAAGGGCGTAGTGGGACTGTAGAGAACAGCCTTTATTCTGTATAGCGTTACAATGCTTTGAGACGTGGCAGTACACAAAATCGTGGTAGTCGTGAATTGATACGGCAATGCAGTCTTTGGCACACGTTCGCAGTTTGCGTGCATAGACAGCTTAAATTACAGGGAAGGAAGGGGGAAAAGGACAAATCACGTTGTTCATTCATGTACGGGCGTCAAAGCCTTCGCACGAAGGCAAGATTCACTACACCGTCGCTTGCGCGTTACACAACAAACATTTCAGCATTTCACACAGACTGCCACTCGCGCCACAAAGGACACTTTTTGGAGCTTGGTGCGCCCGTCCTGTGTCACAGCGTTCGGTATTTGAGAGCTTATAAGAGGTGTAAATAGGCTGGTTTCGACTATAGACTTTGTATATACTCGAACAAATGGTTACGTCCCTGCGACAAGATATAAACGCATTTCACCAGTATAAACGCGAGATTGTCCATCTTTTACTTTTGCTCGCCTTCTCACGCACAACTAAGAGTGGTGTGTAGTTGGCGAGAGTAGAAAATTTCTACATCTACTGCAGTATACCTGCTTGGGCCTGGCGAAATTTTCCATGGCTGAGTATGGACCGAAATTCCCATCGTTTGTAGTGGAGCTGCCATCTATAAACGGGGCATGTGGTTGTGGTGTAAGTAAGAACCACGATAGCTTCCGGTCTGTGGCCGTATTCCGAAACTATCACTTCGCGGCTGCACAATCACTACCTTGAAAGCAACCCATAGTTCCTGTGGTCACTGAACGATCCCAGCGTGGCAGTTCTCTTTAGTAAACACTGTAAGAATCTCTACGGGTATGCGCACCCTAGCTGTGCCACCTTCGCGAAATCTCGAGAAAATGCGAGAATAGCCGGAAGTGGTGATCCTGGAATACGGCCTAAGTCTCTATCGCAAGCTCGTCACCAGTGCTTGTTCGCCATTATCTGTGACGTAATCATAACGGTAGTCTATGTGCTAGCCACGTCAAGAGCGTGTAGCTTATGCTCGCTCTAAACGCGCGTGCAATATAGTAGAAGAATCTGCAGTCGGCAAGGATGCTGCTGAACCTCATTGCTTTGTCACTTTCTAAAACGCATTGTTTCTTCAGAAGTGGCAAAAATACTCGTATGTATCACTGGGTAGGAAGCTTTCGTCCTCCAAATGCTTCATCCCGCACGA